TAGGGAGGTGGCAATAAAGGGGAGGAGAGTCAGAAAAGTGTTGCAGTACAAGGTGATATGCTGGAAGGGGGGGGGAATCACAAAAATATCACGTCTTGTTAGACCACTTTCAACCCCCTCTCCTGTACAAGAGGTGTACAAAATTTGGAGGATGGTAGGTTAGTAAATAATTGTGATGTACAATGAAAAGGTTGGAAGGTTACAAATGTTTTTTGATAGGTCCAGGTTTCATAAAATCTGGGTTCCTACAAGTAGCCAGTGCTACTATAATAGGTGGTTCGAATTGTCATGCAATTACCAAAGAAAGATACACTGTTCAGGTCAGGTATCCCTGTATAACCTTTTAACTAACACAGAACTGGCTGGAATGATAAGGTGTACAATATAAATGTCAGGTATATTACTGAACATGCCTATCTAACACTGGAATGTGCTGGAGAAAAACATTTCTCTTGTAGAGCATTAACCATTTAAATCCCAACCAACTGGTTCAGGTTTGCCAGTCTGCATATGATCTAATAACTATGAGTTCCGTGATTCCACATGAATGAGGCGAGCGTTGTAATGCTCTGTTGTGTTTTTTCTGTACTTGGCATCTGCAGATAGTTGGGACACCAGAGACATACTTCTGCATCAAGATGTATATTCAGCGTCCCACAAGAACTAAGATGGCTTCACCCCAGGGGCGGACTGACAACTCATGGGGCCCCCGGGCAATAGGGGATCATGGGGCCCCTGTGTCCTTGCCCAAACTCAAAAAACTTATGAAAAAGGTACCAGGGGCATCTCATGGGGCCCCCTACTGACCCGGGCCCTTGGGCAGTGCCCACGTTTCCAAATGGAGTCCGCACTCATTGCTTAATTAAATGAGCAGTGAGAATCCTTTCTCTTGAGCGAATATGCCTGAGATAAAATCAGGCCACAATGGAAGCTGGAGGTCCAACGGAATGAAATCAGGAAGAACATCTACCTAAAGGAAGCAATGGCTGACAAAGAAACACTGTCAACCCTCACATCTAATGTTTTTAAAGCAAACTCATTTAGATGAAGAAGGTCACAGACAAAAAGGAAAAAAGCAACCTTAATGCGGCCATATATGAATTGAAATTTGATCGGTTCAGCAGGGACCAGCCAAATTTTGCTCCGTGTGTGGGCACTGTGGTTGTACAGAAGTTGATCTACCAATTGACTTTTCTACAATCACCCTGTATCATTTTTCAGCATAGCTATCTATGGTCTGCAGTGCTGATAAGTGTATTCTGATCATAACGAAGTTTCCCCACTGTCAGAATACAATAGCTCAGCAGGGAGGATTCCCCTATCCGCTTTGAATGTGTGGATGAGAAAATCGGGTCTGGGTTTTTAGTTTTTTTTCATTTTTGGTCATATACGAAGGTATGGGTCTCAGCACAACCTAATCTTATCCCTGTGAAGGAAAAGTAAAGGCACGTTACAATACAAACCTATCAGCTCTGAAACCTTCCTAGCTGACGTAATGAAAAAACAAAGGCCTGAGTCATGACAGGTACCTCTCATAGCGGCTCAATGGGAAGCTTTTGAGGAGCAAAAATCACAAAGCAATGCAAGGAAGATCTGAACAGGAGGAGAAATATGTATGACATTCTTAACAAATGTATAGACCCATGAAAGAGAGGTCAAGTGCCTAATGTTGAGGACCTGCAAGCATCACTGTGTGTGCTGTACATACTGGAGTATAGATTTAGCTGTGCTGTTTGATTTGTCAAGTATCCACATCCTAAAGGTGGCAACTATATCTATTTGAAGAAGACTGGATCCTTGCTACCCAATGCAGCTGGAAGAAAAACCTTTTCTATGGGAGAAGGTGCATCTATGCTATATGAAGGAAAGTCAGTCTATGGGCAGTGGAAGCAAAGTGGAAATTTAGGTTGAGGATGAAAAGTCTGTTTCTGGGTGGGGAAAGAAAGGAGGGTCTGTGGGTGGCAGGAATAAAGGTGGATCTATGAGTGAAGGAGAAAAAGGTGGGTCTAAAGACAAGGTAAGAGAAGCAGGTTTATTAGTGAAGGAAGAAAAGTGGATCAATGAGTGCAGAAATAAAGGTAGTTTTATGGGTGGACAAAGTAAGGCCAGTGTATGGATGGAAAAGGCCAGTCTAAGGGGTGAAGAAAAAAGGTGGGTTTATAGGTAAGGAAGGAAAAGCAGGACTATGGGTGGAAAAAGAAAGGTGGATCTACAATGCGGGAGGGAAGGTGGGACAGAAGAAGAAGATCTATGGGTGGAAAAAGAAAGGCTATAGGTGCGGGGAAAAGGTGGATCTATGAAGGAAGGAAGAAAAATAGGTCCATAGCTTGAGGATGAAACATGGGTCTATAGATGGGGTTAAAGTAGCAGATCTATGGATGCATAAAGAAAGGCAAGTCTAAAAGTGGGGGGGAGACAAAACAGATCTATGGGTGGAACAAGAAACACTGTCTATAAGTGGGGTCCAAGAAGCAGATCTCTGGGTGAAGGAAGGAAGGTAGCTCTATGTGTGAAAGGGAAAAGCTGGGTTTATTAGGTGAAGGGTTACCATGGACAAGGGACACAAAGCGGTGCCAATTTGAACTGTCAGAGAATCATGGTTCCAGCATTCATGAATGACCAGTGTGCTTGGTGTGGATGGTTCAGGCACATTCAGGTGAGGTCTGCCTAGTTCCATCTATGTGTAGACTTTCTCCCCACTGCTGCACAGCCAGCTTCCTCTGACAGCTCACAAGTCAGCTATTTCCTTTAAATAATAATAAGAATATATTTTTAGTTAGAGGTGAGTGAAAAACATCATGTGGAATGTGGAAATTTGGATGAGTGTCCAATGTTTGTGCTGCAGCCTGTGAGTAATATCCTAGCACCGTGAGAACAGAAGCCATTCTTCAGGCTGTACGCTCTGCACAGACGGATTATGCTCACAGCTGAATGTTTTCTGCTCTTTGTCGCCCTGTCACAGGTAAGTGGCACATTAGGGCAGATGTCTTTTGATGGCACTGTCACTGCATGGGGTCTTCAGAAAGCCAAATGTGTAGGTGTGTAGCCCCCTGCAGCAGTTCAGCTCTTACTGTAGGTGTCACAGTGCACCAAATCTTCTTGGGACAGTTTGGACATTCTTGGTACATTTAGGACATTCTTCTTGGGACATTTGGATATCATATTATATGATCATTGGGTCTCCATCACATGAAGTACTAATCCTTTCTGGTAAAGTGTTCCCCTTTTAATACAATAATGTACGAGACAGCCCTCCCCATCACTTCCATAGCAGGCAAGGTTATCAGAAGAGTGCAACCTCCATGATCCCAGTGTATAATTCAGATTTCCTCTCAGGTAATGGTAGTCCACTCGCTGGCATTATTGGATTGCTATCAACATGTCTGATTTATAGGCAGTGTAAGGGGTAACCAGAATATTACCAGATAGTGCTGTGGGGGTACACTCAGAAATGTACAGAACAAGACGGGGAGGGGGGGCCCAGAACCTTACAAGACAAGGCAGGGAGGTACATGCAGAATAGTACAAGACAGTGCAAAGGAGTACATCCAGAAGGGTTGAGGACAGTACAGGGGGTAAACCCAGAAGAATAAAAGACACTTCAGTGAGGTACAAATGAAAATGAGTGCCTAGGTTGATTTCCCCTGGAGGTAGACAAAAAGTGCTCCAAAGCTTACAGTGTCTTCTGCAGTGTCACGTACTCTTCTGGTTGTATCCCCCCTGCAGTGTCATGTACTCTTCTGGTTGTATCCCCCCCTGCAGTGTCACATACTCTTCTGGTTGTATCCCCCCTGCAGTGTCACATACTCTTCTGGTTGTATCCCCCCTGCAGTGTCACATACTCTTCTGGTTGTATCCCCCCTGCAGTGTCACATACTCTTCTGGTTGTACCCCCCCTGCAGTGTCACGTACTCTTCTGGTTGTATCCCCTTTGCAGTGTCATGTACTCTTCTGGTTGTATCCCCCCTGCAGTGTCACATACTCTTCTGGTTGTATCCCCCTTGCAGTGTCACGTACTCTTCTGGTTGTATCCCCTTTGCAGTGTCATGTACTCTTCTGGTTGTATCCCCCCTGCAGTGTCACATACTCTTCTGGTTGTACCCCCCCTGCAGTGTCATGTACTCTTCTGGTTGTATCCCCTTTGCAGTGTCACATACTCTTCTGGTTGTATCCCCCCTGCAGTGTCACATACTCTTCTGGTTGTATCCCCCCTGCAGTGTCATGTACTCTTCTGGTTGTACCCCCCTGCAGTGTCATGTACTCTTCTGGTTGTATCCCCTTTGCAGTGTCATGTACTCTTCTGGTTGTATCCCCTCTGCAGTGTCACATACTCTTCTGGTTGTATCCCCCTTGCAGTGCTTGCACTCTTCTGGTTGTACTCCTCTGCACTGTCTTTTATTATTCTGGGTGTACCTCCCTACAGCACAGAAGTATAAGGTGAAGAGCTGGCAACTCGTTCTCTCGATAAAAGTACTTTATCCATAAAGGGTACAGTGTGCAAGTTATAGTAGCTTACGCGTTTCGGTAAAAAAAAAAACGTATTCCTAACCATGGTTATCAATAAGGGTATTTTACCGAAATGCGTAAGCTGCTGTAATTTGCACACTGTACCCTTTATGGATAAAGTACTTTTATCGAGAGAACGAGTTGGCGGCTCTTCACCCTATACTCCTATACTGCAGGGAGGTACATCTAGAATAGTACAAGACAGTGCAGAGGAGTAAACTCAGAAGAGTACATGACATTGCAGGGGGGGGGGTTACAACCAGAAGAGTACGTGACACTGCAGAAGAGTTCATCCAGATAAGTAAAAAACAGTGCAGAAAGGTACACCCAAAATAATCTTCTTACCACACATAGTTGCCCTTTAAATGCCTCCAAATCCTGTACGTTCTAAGTGTAGCATTCCAGAGCATATTTTCCAATGGCTGTGTATATATATCTAGGAAATTCGGTCACAGCTACAGAATTTTTTCTTCTCTTTAATCATTCAGTGTCTCATGATCTTCTGTTTCCAACAGATTTCAGCTCAGCTCTGCCCCAGCCAATGCACATGCTCCTGGGCCCCAACAAGATGTCCTCCAGGCATCCCACTTCTTCTGGATGGCTGCGGATGCTGTAAGATTTGTGCACGTCGACTTGGAGAACCATGTAACCAGAAATACCTATGTGATCAGACCCAGGAGCTTGTCTGTGATTATTCTACAAGCAACGATGGAGGAAGAAGTGGAACCTGCAACTGTAAGATACCTTAGAGGTCCCCTATCTGGAAAATCTCTTCATTCCATAACCATTACATTTATATAGCATATGATCTGCCCTAGGTCCATTCAATATACAACAAGCAAGCAAGATCATCTTCCAGTTTAATATCTCTCTCCTCTTTTATCCATTTTCAGGACCAGATAACGTGAATTGATCACTAGATGTCAATTCTAGAGGGATAATGATGTAACAATATGATGTTTCTCCAGATAATGATGGTGACAGCTGTGACATAGATGGGAAGGTGTATGAAGATGGCGAGACATTTCAGCCGAGCTGTAAACTCCAGTGTAAATGTGAGGATGGTGGGGTCACATGCGTCCCCACTTTGCAGTGAAGATATCCAGCTTCCAACGCCAACATGTCCCTTCCCACGCCGAGTAACAGTTCCAGGACAATGCTGTCCACAGTGGAGATGTGATGGACACCCAAGCAGTCTGGAGACAGGTAACCAGACTGTCAGATATGGGAAAAGTCACCCTATATATATTCAGGCTTGTGGTGTCACTGACAACACACACAGGGCTACTGCTGTGGCAATTTTGGAAGTTTTTCATCAGTTTTTGATTTCACAGAACATCTGGGTTCACAGCCATCTGCCTGGAAACAGTTCTCAGGCTTCAAACTGAAACTGACTTAACTGCAGTCATGGTGGTTTGTTGATTCCCACAGCAATTTTGATTTTTTTTTTTTTCTCAGCTGGGTAATTATTGAAACTTTAACTGGCAGGTTGGTGTAGAATCCAAAAAAAAAAAGAAAACTAATTAAATAAATAAAATTCCAAATTTGTCACATTTTTCACATGTACAGTCAGTATTAGAGTTCTTTGTATAATCTAAGTTGTTTGCAATCAGCATTACCAGTAAAACATAATAAAACAGCTAATTCATGTTACTGACAAAGCTAATTATCTGCCTTATGATGATGCTATTATATTATATTTATATAAATTATTGCCCGTAAATCACTTTAAGTGATTCTAAAGGTAAATTTTTTTATTTTTTACCTGTTTTTTTTTGTAATAGCTCTGTACAGAGCAGCCTTCATCCTCCTCTTCCCAAGTCTCCTGTTGGAGCTCCTGGTCCCTCCCCCATGCTGAGTACCCCCAAATTAAGCCACTTGCTATGGTGGCACTCATGCATGCTCACTCCCAAGCCAGCTCTGTGTGTCCATTGACTAACCTCCCACTCCCCCCTTGCTGGTTGTGATTGGCTTCGACTTCTGTGTCTGAGTCAATGAGGACGGAGAGAGCTGCTGCTCTCATGCACATTGCTGGATTGAGATTGGGCTCTGGTAAGTATACGGGGGGCTGGAAGGGGGAACCACATGCAGAAGGTTTATTATCTTGATGCATAGAGTGCATATACGTAACTCTAAAGGCTTTTTGTTTTGTTTTTTTAAAGAAAAAATACCAAATATGTCTATACTTACCTGCTGTGTGCAGTGGTTTTGCACAGAGCAGCCCGGATCCTCCTCTTCCCAGGTCCCCCGCCAGCACTCCTGGCCCCTCCCTCCTGTCGGCTGCCCCTATAGCAAGCAGCTTTCTATGGGGGCACCCTCTGCTCCGTGCGTCCATTCACACACAGAGCCAAGGCTTGGCCCTGCCCCCCTCTCTTCTCATCGGCTCACTGGCTGTGATTGACAACAGTGGAAGCCAATAGCTCCTGCTTCTGTCTCACCCAATGAGAAAAGTGAATCCCCAGGTAAGCTGAGACTCAATTGCACTTTGCTGGATCAAGAGGGGGCTTAGATGAGTATTAGGGGAGGCCGGGGGGCTGCTGCACATAGAAGATTTTTTTACTTTCATGCATAGAATGCATGAAGGTAAAAAACCTTGAGACTTTACAACCACTTTGAAGTAAAAAGCCTTCTGCCTTTACAACCACTTTACTTAACTTACTGCAAATGTATCAGAGGATTGCCCATCCTGCTTTGTTCAGATAGAGCTGCATGGAGTTTCAATCAGAGAGAGGCAGGCAGGATACAAACATCTTCTGTTGAGCTTTCTTGATTGAGAAAAGACAAACCTCACTTTATACATTCTCAATAATAAAAGCAAACATACTGGAAACCATTTTAGTTTTACTGAAATTTCTAAAAACTACCACTGGAGTCCAGCCATAAGAATGGAAATTATGGGCTTTTGAATACTGACTGATCCCTTAACATTCATATTAGTGTTTGGAATATAGAGCATAGCACCCTTCATTCATGCTACACATCAGAATGAATTTTGAATTTTGTCTTGTTTTGGTACAGGAAGACTGGCACAGACAGCACCAATAAACTGTCCTGAATGGACCACAGAATGGGGAGCGTGTTCCGCTCTTTGTGGCATGGGTATCTCCTCACGTGTGACCAACCAGAACCCATATTGTAGACTGGAGAGCCAGCATCGCCTGTGCATGGTGCGACCCTGTGGAGTCCCATCAGCTGCCACTGTAAGTCTGAACTATATACAAAACCATGAGCCTCAACTGCCTGCACTGCAAACTCTATGTCATTTATACCATTATAGAAGCCCGTCCTCAGCTAAATATGACTTGCGTGTCATTTGACATGTCATATGTTTGAGTATAAAAGCCTAGCCTAGAGGACCTCAGCTACATATGGAGTTTAGTAGTAGAGTGGCTGGAGTTTAGTAGAAGGATGACTATAGATTAGAAGCAGGGTGACTGGAGGATAGTAGTAGAGTGGCTGGAGGTTAGTAGTAGGGTGACTTGAAGATAGAAGTAGAGAGGTTGGAGTTTAGTATTATGGTGACTGGAGGATAGTAGTAGAGTGGCTGGAGGTTAGTAGTAGGGTGACTTGAAGATAGTAGTAGAGAGGTTGGAGGTTAGTATTATGGTGACTGGAGGTTAGTAGAAGGATGACTGTAGATTAGAAGCAGGGTGACTGGAGGATAGTAGTAGAGTGGCTGGAGGTTAGTATTAGGGTGGCTGGAGTATAGTAGTAGAGAGGTTGGAGGTTAGTATTAAGGTGACTGGAGGATAGTAGTAGAGTGGCTGGAGGTTAGTAGTAGAGTAACTGGAGGATAGTAGAAGAGTGGCTGGAGGTTAGTAGTAGGGTGACTGGAGGTTAGTAGTAGGGTGACTGGAGGATAGTAGTAGATTGACTGGAAGATAGTAGTAGAGTGGCTGGAGGTTAGTATTTGGGTGACTAGAGGATAGTAGTAGAGTGGCTGGAGGTTAGTATTAGGGTGACTGGAGGTTAGTAGTAGGGGGACTGGCGGATAGTAGTAGAGTGGCTGGAGGTTAGCAGTAGAGTGACTGGAAGATAGTAGTAGAGTGGCCGGAGGTTAGTATTACGGTGACTGGAGGATAGTAGTAGAGTGGTTGGAGGTTAGTAGAAGAGTGGCTGGAGGATAGTAGTAGAATGGCTGGAGGTTAGCAGTAGAGTGACTGGAAGATAGTAGTAGAGTGGCCGGAGTTTAGCAGTAGAGTGACTGGAGGATAGCAGTAGAGTGGCTGGAGGTTAGTATTACGGTGACTGGAGGATAGTAGTAGAGTGGCTGGAGGTTAGTAGTAGAGTGACTGGAATATAGTAGTAGAGTGGTTGGAGTTTAGTTGTAGGGTGACTGGAGGATAGTAGTAGAGTGGCTGGAGGTTAGCAGTAGAGTGACTGGAAGATAGTAGTAGAGTGGCCGGAGTTTAGCAGTAGAGTGACTGGAGGATAGCAGTAGAGTGGCTGGAGGTTAGTATTACGGTGACTGGAGGATAGTAGTAGAGTGGCTGGAGCTTAGTAGTAGAGTGACTGGAATATAGTAGTAGAGTGGTTGGAGGTTAGTAGTAGAGGGACTGGAGGATAGTAGTAGAGTGGCTGGAGGTTAGTAGTAGGGGGACTGGAGGTTAGTAGTAGAGTGACTGGAAGATAGTAGCAGAGTGGCCGGAGGATAGTAGTAGAGTGGTTGGAGGTTAGTAGTAGAGGGACTGGAGGATAGTAGTAGAGTGGCTGGAGGTTAGTAGTAGAGTGACTGGAAGATAGTAGCAGAGTGGCTGGAGGTTAGTATTAGGGGGACTGGAGGATAGTAGTAGAGTGATTGGAGGTTAGCAGTAGGGTGACTGGAGGATAGTAGTAGAGCGGCTGAAGGTTAGCAGTAGGGTCAATGGAGGATAGTAGTAGAGATTGTGATATCATTATAGAGATTGAGAATTTAAAGTTGATTTCACAGGTTAAAGTTGTACATACAGAGGAAGAAAACGGCTAACAAAGATTTGGTTTTTTTTTTTTTTTTGCTTTTTAGGGGATCGCAGCCTGCAACCCAACCCTGGTGTCTCCTCATCCTATCAGGTGGGAGACTCAGGACTGCATCAGCATCAGGACTTTTTGGCCCACATTTTGTGGTTCCTGCGGCATTAGGCACTGTGTCCCCTATCAGACTGTAAATGAATTGGTTGCATTCCAGTGCACTGCAGGGCTGAGTATGAAACTGATGATGTTTATAGTGTCCTGTGTTTGTTAAGAGAAAATAAGAAAAATGAAGTGCACTATGGGCACACCAGTCAGGATCAACTGGCCATGTACACAGAAATGGAGCTCTGGAAATGTCCCACCAAGACCACCTGCTTGTGTATACAGATGTGGAGCCTCAAAAGGCCTCGTCAGGATTCCTTGTTAATGTACACAGACATGGATCTCCAGAAAGGCTCCAACATGATCACCTGCTCATATACACAGACATGGATCTCCGGAAAGGCCCCGTCAGGATCACCTGCTTATGGTCACATATATGGTGCTCTGGAAAGGCCTCGATAGAATCAACTACTCATGTACACAGACATGGAACTCAGGAAAGGGTCCACCAGGATCACCTGCCCATGTACAAAGAAACAGAACTCTGTAAAGGCCCCACCTGGATCACCTGCTCATATGCACAGACATAGAACTCTGGAAAGGCCCTGGCAGGATCATCTGCTCATAAGCACAGATATGGAGCTCAAGACAGGCCCCACCAGGATCACCTGATCATGCACCCAGACATGGAGCTTTAGAATGGGCCTGTCAAGATCAACTGTTTCTGTACATAGACATGGAATATATGGTGTAAAGTACGCAGTGTACTGGGGTGTATGGAGGGTGATGATGAATGTTATGGGGTGTATGGGGAATGTACTAAGTGTATTAGTGTGTTTGGGAGGTATGTTGAGTGTTTCGGGTTGTATAGGTGATGTGGGGGTGCTTATTGTACTGGCGTGTATGGGTGGTGGGAGTTGAGTTCATCAGAGATTTTGGAACTAGTTCTGTTGAGGTGTGTAGAGGAGTGCTGAGTGTATGGGGGTGAGCTTTGGGGGGGTGTTGGGGAGAGTACTTTCAATGTTAAGATGTATGGTGGGAGTG